CTGTGTTCATCCAGCTCTACACCTTGTAATCTGAAAAACTGAAGAACTTGGTCTTGAAATGAACCAATTATGAAAGCTGTCACGAGTGAAAGATTAGTCTCATTTATCACACCGTCCTAAAAGAACTATACATCAAATTAACTTCATACTTTGGTATGTTTTGCAGATAACTTATAACTTATGGCATTGCAAAGGAAAATTTAAGCCACTATGATGAAAGCCATGCTAAGGGTAGCATTTAAGTTACACTGTTAATATGAAGTGTGCTCATGCAGGACTTTGACTCCAAGTAGATTAATGTACTGTACAGCCATATTGTTAAAACTATATTTTTTTTAAGAAGGGATCTACTGTTTTTAAAACCTTACCTGAACCTGGCTCCCTTAGAGATTTTTTTGTCACTTATTCTTTAGCCCTTATGAAGCAAACGTATTAGACAAATTACTGAACTGAATAATTAAAGTAAGTTTGCATGGAATGGTACATTGTACTTGTGATGCATACACAAATACTCAAAACCCGAATCAGTCTCTCCGCTAGGACATTTTATCCACTGGGTAGTTCTAGAAATATTCTAGAACCCAGCTTACGGGTAGACTTTCACCTTGAAAGATAAATTACCTTGCATTGTCACAAAGATTCTCCCTCCCAACCCCTATATACAAGAGGGGTATAACTGCAGAATGAGTATCACTTCTTGATAAAAAGATGGTTCTCAAGTTCAGGATTAGACAACGTCATATACTTGGTGAGATCTGTATTTTTCCTCAAAAAAACATTTGCTACAACACAAACAGTCCAGCAATTAAAGTTACCTTTTAAAACAAAAAGCACTCTCACTGTACAGATTTATGCCAAGAATCTCACATCATTGTAGGGAAGACAGGGACATAGTTTGACTGATCAGTTAAAACCTTAACAGTGATTGCATGTTTTACCATGAGGCACACTGTTGATTGGAGGAAATAAAAAACACAGTTTGGCCCTTATGGGAAGCTGGCCTGCTGTCTGGTCTCTGCAACACTGATTTAGGTGTATGTCATTTTCCCAACATCAAAAACCAGTTTTCGTCTTTACTCAAATTTGCTGTTATGTTATTTGCAACTATAAGTTTATAAATACCAGACAGTAGGTACTATAAACATCATTATGTCAGCTCTGCCTGGAGGCAGGTTCTTGGCTCATAGTTTTCTTGATGCCTCTCTGTCCTATCCCAGTCTTCTCATTTCCCGATAAAACAATTATGACCTTTGAACAAAAAGCTAAGCACATAGAGTGCTACATGTTAATAAACAAATTATCTGGGCTTGTTTTATTAGTGCAAGTTTACCTGTAAATTAACAGATTCAGTCTTGTATTATTTTACTCTCTTCAACCCAATGCTTTTTTTTCCCTTGCTTCTTTACTTGAGAGAATGCTTCTATAAGCATAGCATTCCAGCAGGCTATTCACCTGTTTAAGGAGGTTAACTAAATTCCCTGCATTTAAACACAAAGGCTAATTGATAACAAGATTATCAGTGGAGATTATAGTTTTAAAATCAACTGTTACTATAGAATGGCCATGTTAGAAGCTTTAAAATTAAGAAATTAGAAATCACCCTGCTTTAAATAATCAATTCAGCTTTGGAACAGCATCATCACAGCCAGAGTTCCAAAGTTGTTAGATGTCCATTGACAATAGTGCATCTACAAAGAGGCAATCTTACCAGTTAGCATGCTTTTCAACCTCCAAAATTTAAAAAAAGCCATTTCCACACAAGCAACTCTCTGTGGTCACATTAATTACACTTGTCATAATCTTTAAGGCGAAATCAGCTCACAATAATCAGAAATAACAGTAATCAAACTATTTTTGTTATTACTTTGATAGTTGAAGGAATGCAATGTCAGTAGCAGCATGTGCATAGTTTCACAGGTAAATAAATCATTGACGTAGTCATCACAACTACAAATTGGTTAAAGTCTCTCAATAAAGTTATACTCAGTCGTACAAACTTACCAGTACCATACTTCATTCATGATCTAGCAAAACATTTTCCTTAAAAGTTCCTCTTTCTTTTAAATTATGTCATTTATAAACTGTAGCCCAGTGTTACCCCATTTGTTTTGACCCTCAGTGAGAACAGAGAGCAAAAGCCAATTAGAGTGACAATTTGGCTGTTGTAACTTGGTACCAGCTCCACAGCATTGGTTACTGCCTTGGATCTCAAGACATCAAGATTTTAGCTTGTGATCCCACCTGGGGCCCAGACACACACTTGAGGAAACCCTGCCGTAGCCCAATGCGAAAAATTACAAAATGCTGCTGTTTGGAAAACACCAGTGTTAAGACTTTTAAGTTTGTACTTTCAAAATTGTGAACTGAAATGAGAAAGAACTCTTCTAAAACCAAGGATTACTGCATGCTTTGAAAGCAAGTAATTTATACCCATTGTGAATACAGTTTGTATATCTGTGGGTTACAGCAATGTTTGCAGATGAAGGCATTGTTTCCCCTACTTCTTTTTCTTGTATATGGACCCCCAAGGTCTGTATGCAGCAGCGACTTCTGGAACCGGAAGTCAATGCTGTGAATGGTGTCAAGCTGCTGACTGCCATGTGTAGACCTTCAGAGAGACTGGACATGCAACTTAAAGGAAACATTGCCTGAAGGGTCACATATAGATTAAGCTTTAGCTGGCACAAGAAGCTGATTGGTTTGTAGATTAATGACTGGTTATTGTGACAGATTTTCTGCCTGCCAAGAACCATGTGATTAGTTCTCAGGTAACTAAACAGTTTGGGGCTGGAAACAAGATATCAGGTCTCCACCTGCCAGGAACTCTCGCTCCATTCTCCTTAGTAAACCACTTTAAACATGAAGAAAGCCAGTTGATATTTTTTTCAGCAGTTGCTGTGAGCGGTGACTTTTAACTGACAAGTCAGAGACAATTTTGTCTAGCCACCCCCTTGAAAACCAGTGCAAGTATGTAGAAAAGGACAACTAAGAAGCAGAGTCTGATCAGGATAAGAATCCTAAGAACTATGTCAGCAACCTCAGTAATTAGGAACCACTGAAACATTTTTCCAGTCACTCCCACCCACCTGCCACCACCAACATTTTCCACGTCTCTTTCCCTGTCTGTGTACGCACATGTAAGGGGAAAATTTATAAGAGGATTAGCATTTGAATTAATTGCATTTTATGCCAACAGTTTATAACTGTTTATCTGTAGCTAGAATTGAATTACTTTTAATAAATAGCAATTATTGTTAAGTATAGAAACCCGGCCTGTGCTTTCTGCCAGCCTGGATCAAATTTCAGAACTTTTGCATACTTCTTTAAAAAATCTTTAACTTTTGTGACAACTCTGGGAATAGTTGGGCTTGACTTCCAGTGTGCTACCCAAGTGAGCTGTGACACCAAGCAAAACTGTGTTGCTCATTAGGAAGTGAATTATACATCAATGGTTCACCTTCTAATATAATCCGGTTTTAACAAAATAGAATCCTTTCAAAGTACTTGCTATTTGGGAAATCTATTTTCAGGTCTTTGCCAATGTTGCTTTCTTGCTTTTGGAAAAGAGCAATGGAGAGGACAGCAAGAAACTGGGACAAATCCACGTGTTAACACAAACACAAACTCATCTCTTACTCTGTGAGATTGAGGATAAATAAGTTTGTTATGGTGACATGGATGCCTTTGAGCTGAAAATACTAGTGACAGAAAATATCCCAACTAGTCCATACTTGAACCTACTTCTCATAACAAAGACAGTGCTATGCATCAGGGTTCTCCTTCCATTTATTTATTCAATGGTTTTAGGGGGCTCCATTATGAAAACATAATGACGTACAAATCTGAAAAAGGCAGGGAGGTTTTCAAGAATGCCAACTACCATAATCCCTAAGCACTTTCTAAATCCGGTTTAATTTTGAGGAGGTAATCACTGAATTCTACTTAAAAAAATAATTTTAGTTGATATGTAAATGTAGAAAAAGGTACAAAAATTATGTATATATAAAAGGCAAAAATAAAAACACGGAGCTTTGCAACACTGGCAGGCTGGATGAACATCATGTGTAATGTCAGATCTCTGCGACTCAGGAAGAGGTAACAGCAGGGGCTAGGCCTGTCACACAAAATAGCTACTAGAATCACAGTTTTGTTTCGGAAAAATAAACCTGTGAGATGTTACACTTGAAGTGAAATATTTTGTTAAAGGAGAAGCAATCTTTGAGGCATTATTTTATCCCCTATTCTCAAAGCACAATCTGCCGTTCAAATAGTAAAGCGTTTAGGATAACTGGGTTAAAAAATATAGCTATTGCATTTGCCAACTAAAACGTTTTTGTCCAGAAATGTAAAAGTTGAATCTTCCTTTGCATGAGACTGTCACCGATGGGGTAGGCAGACTGTGTGGACTGGTTGGTTGAGAAACCAACAGCTCATTCATAAAGTTAAAAGATAATAATTCTGCATCTTTTATGTGCAACTTTGTCAATAAGAGTTACTGGATCCATTCAAATATCCCGCGTTCTCTTGAGCGATAGAGACTTTAATTGTATACTACTTATCGATAAGCACATACCTGGAGATCCAGTTCATGACAACGCTGAGAGAGCTCATCCTTCGATTCCACCTCATCACACAAAGTGAATCTCTTCAACTGGAAGATGAAAGATTACTTTAATTCAACACGCACAAAGTATTACTTTATTCACTCTTGGGTATATGAGACTAGCCATGGTGTGAACCAGACAGCAATATCAAAGTCTAAATTAACTATTAACGCAATCTGTGAAGTAACTTAACTGTTCAATAACCTCCATCTGTAAATGTCTGTCAATAATTTATTTTTGAAACAAACACTTATTCTCGAGCCTCAAGGCATATGAGGTAGACAAAGCGCAGGATTATGTCTGTTTCCATTGCTATTTTTCTGGGACAGCCACAGGCTCTTGTTTCAGATGCATGATTCCAGGACAACCTCAGTTGGCTAGCAGACTTTTCCACTCTTGCTGCTTACCATAGGGTATCAGAAGGACTAATAGGTGAACAATCACTTAGTCAGCCATCATTATGTACACATCTTCTTGAGCCATCAGGTTTTGGGATGGGACTCGAACCTGGAGTTTCTGGCTCAGATTCAGGGACACAAATGCACCACAAGACCATCATATTTAACAGCACCATCTTTGTAACTAGATTATCATTAGAAATAGCTAAACTTAAAAATAAGTTACCTGGTAATCCAAGTCACCACAGCTGCTGCTATGCACAGATTCACACGGGTCTCTGGTCAATAGCTGAAGTGGAAGGAAAATTAATGATTAACAGTGCAGTGTTACATGCAAACAGACAGCAGCAAAAAATCTAAAGTGGATTGTAACAAGAGAAATGGACACAGAACTGATCAAAGGTTTATAATCAGTAGTGAAGCCTCGAAGGATTGAATTAGATATATTCTAAAAACAAAGTAATTAGGTGCACCTAATTTCCAGTTTCTGAAGTGCACAAAGAAATCAACAATGGAAGGACACTGCAGGAGAATAAAAAAATGTGTAGGAAGATTACTAGAATCTCACAGAAACACATACTTGACCATGAACTTCTATTAAATGTAGGGTTCCTAATTAAAATATAGGGTAAAAATACTACCAATCAAACCCACAATAGCTCTTGCCTCAAAGGGTGAAGGTCACGGATTTGAGACCCACTCTAGGATTTGAGCACATAAAACGGTCAATATTCTAGTGGAGATAACAAGGTGTACAGCTGGATGAACATAGCAGGCCAAGCAGCATCAGAGGAGCAGGAAAGCTGACATTTTGGGCCTAGACCCTTCTTTCTGAAGGGGGGTTTAGGCCCGAAATAGCAGCTTTCCTGCTCCTCTGATGCTGCTTGGCCTGCTGTGTTCATCCAGTTCTACACCTTGTTATCTCAGATTCTCCAGCATCTGCTATCTCTGATACTATCTCTGAAACAATATTCTAGTGGAGTTCTCCATTGTTGTTCCGACCTTCATTTAGAGCTCTATCTGTACATTCAGGTGGTTAAAAGAGAATTAATGTAACTATTGAAAGGGCACGGAGGTCTGCAAACAAATTGTTGACTAACAAGGAAGTCAAAGTGGACCTGGATTAGCCAGGAAAGTGGAGTGGAGGTCACAACCAAATCAGCCAATATCTTAAATGAATGGTGCAGCAGGTTCAAGAGGCCAAATGGACTACTCCTTACTCTTAACTTGTGTGTGGCCAAGCATCGCACTTCAACCAATCTAAAAAGTAAAACAAAATAATTGCCCACATTTTTTTTGATACCCTATAAAACGATTGTGACCACCCTAACAAAAGCAGTTTGCAAACACGCTTGGGATGTTCCAAGGGACAATATCAATTCTTGCTTTCATGACTTGCATCGCTAGCTGTCGTTTACTTCATCTTATCACTATATTTGCTTATTTTACAAAAGTATTTAAAAAATAGGGTTTAACATTTTTCTTAATAAAAATAATGACGAAAGGATTTGATATTAAGTTTGAGCCTTTGCAGCTAATTTCTTCAAACTGTTGAAATAATAATAGTTATTCATTATTTCCACATTTTACAAGTAATTTCACGTAAAAACTCATTGAAAACACAATATGGGAAATTGAAAATATGAATTAGAAGAACAGAATCTTATTACAGAATTAACTTATTTTTCTAATTATTAGAAGCAGCCGCTTCCACTTTCCCCAATGATAATTCCATTAAAACATTTGAAAATTTTCAAAGCAACGTGTCACAAATGTAAATTTTGATTTAAATCAAAATTGTTAGTTTAATTTGGATAACCATATAGGTCTGGACTGAGATTTCAAGCTGTAATAGAGTGTAAAGGGTCAGATAAGAAGTTCAACAGGCCTGTAAAGGGCATGTGGTAAGTGCTGGAGTGAATATACATGTCCCATTGCCCCAACCGAAGAAACATTGGTGGCCTGAAGCAGTGCATCATCTAGATGTCCCTGTGTTTTACCTAATGCAACACCAGACTGACCGTGAAGCCGAACCATACATAGCTGCAATACTCTGCTTGTACATTTCCACTGTAAATGGATCAATCAAATTTTACACAGGCTGAAGGCAGTTTGAAAAAAATGCTCTGCTTTCATATATCCCAGCGACAGTCAGCTGTGGTCTGCTTACCTCCTGAATGGCTGTCATGACAACGTGTTGAACAGACTCCTCCAGAGTCATGATATGCTGGATATATTCTGAAAGGGAAAAGTGTGTCAGTCGACAAACAGTATCCCATTCATTGTGTTCAAAACAAGCATTGCATAAATCACTCTGAAGTTGTCTCAGGGACCAGAATCTCAATTACGAAGTGAACATTCAGAAGAAACCGAGCTATCCAGAGCCTGTAACAGAGCATAAAGTCCCCCTTCTCAAGGGCAGATTTCTAATTCAAGCTTTGACTGCCATTTGAACTCTACACTCTGTCTGCTGGATTTTGCCAGCAAGCAGCTGGGTTGTTTAATGGAATGCCATATGCCAGCACAGCATTCCATTTGTGGGCTGGGTTAGAGGCAGAAAAAGAAAGGATTTTTCAAATGAAAAACAAGCAGCTTAGTGACAGATAAAGAGAGATCCATGATCTGGAAAGTACTGCAGCCCCATTGAGGAAGAAGGCAGCAGTGAAAAACAGACACATTTTCCTGAAAAAAAATGATAGCAACAATCATGTTTCCATTTTTGAAAAAATAAAACAACTAGAGCAAAGAAAAGTGCAACCTTGAGGAGAGGCAAGGTTGTGGATTTCTCTCATTCCTTTCCCTACCTTTCAAATTCCTTTGAAGCATCAATTTCTAACTTTATTCATTATTTATGTATTTTTTTAAGCCTTTGTTAAGCTGAATGCTGTCAAGTGAAGATACATTTTCTTTTATAAGAACCCAGTCTGTCAGTGTTGAGTGTTCCCGGTCATGTGAAGTGAGAGTTCATGCAGAGTAAAGCCCTATGTTACTCGACTCTTGATTATATGGTAATCATTTTGAAGTTGATGCAGGATAACACGTTTCATTATCAGCCGACTATCATCGTGCTACATCAGTGGTGCGCAATGACAGGCAATTTTGTGCTGGGAACTCTCTCAGAACTGGACTGACAATACCTGAATTCAACTGAATCAACAGACTCTTACCACCGAGATTGGCTGAACCAGTTTTCAATTCAAACCAGTCTGGGATGCCAGATGACATAGATGAAAGTGCAGCATTTCCACTGGAGCATCCAGTTCCTCAGTTTGGAAGACTGTGGTAAATCCACATCAGAAAAGCTGAGGTAGCTGTTGTGGAGAAGGTGCTGGAATTGATCACAAGGGTAGTTATAGCTGGGCACTTGGGAAAACACAAGATAATCAGGAAGGGTCAGCTTTGCTATGTGCAAAAGGAATCATATTTAAACAATTTATTGGCGTTTTGGCAAATGCAATATTTGCACTCATTTTGAGAGGACTTGAATAGAAGACCAGGGATGTAACTGCGGAAGCTATATAAAGATCTAGTTAGACCCCATTTGGAATATTGTGAGCAGTTTTGGGCCCCATATCTAACGCAGTATGAGCTGGCCTTAGAGGACATTCAGAGGATGTTTATAAGAATGATCCTGATGATGAGGGGTTGTCATATGAGGCATGGTTTTGGACTCTGGATCTCTACTTGATGGAGTTTGAAGCATGACGGGGTATCTCATTGACACGTACAGAATACTGAGGGGCCTGAGTAAAGTGGACATGCAGAAGATGTCTCCACTAGTAGAAGAGACAAGGGCCCAAGGGTACAGCCTCAGCTTATGTATGTTCCTGATTCATATGTTTGCATGGCTCACTGTAACAGCTGGCATCTTACCTTGTTTCTTCTCACAACTGACAGCACAGCCAAGTACAAGCTGCAACATTCGCCCAAGCTCTGCTGCATCAGAGTGCTCTCCTATCAGATTGACCTCTGGCAGATTATACTCCGAAATCTGGTGACCCAGAACCTGAGCAAAGAAAATGATTTTCAAAATAAAGTTAATTTGAAGCACTCTTTGAAGTAGGAAGATGGTGACGCAGTGGCAATGTCACTAGACTAGTAATCCAGAAGCCTAGACTAATGGGCTAGAAACATGGGTTCAAATCCCACCATGCGGTTCATAGAATTTAAATAATTCAATGAATATTAAAGAAACTCTGCAATTGAAAGCTAATCATAGGTAATTACAAATCCCACTACAAAACTCAAATCATCTGGGTCCTTTCTTTAAACAAAAAACATTTGGGTCACTAACAAATCTTGTATTCTTACCTAGTCTACATAAGAGTCCAGTAGCATGTTAATATGGTTCATTCTTAAACACCCTACAAAATGGCTCAGCAATGTAAACAAATGCTGGTTTTGCCAGTGATGACTACATATCCCATGAAAGAAATAGAGATAAATGCTACACTTTCAGGGCAACAAACCGCATCAAAATCTATAATGCTGCTACAAACTGAACATTTGGACATAGGTAGGTGTAATGTCTTGTTTTTCCTCAGGTGGATTTTCAAGGGGGCACTATTCAATTCTAATGTAAATAGCTAATGGGGATTGTTAGGTTTAGGGTGACAGGATACAGAGAGCCTCAGTTTAACTCTCACGCCCAATAATACTGACAGATCAACTGGTACTGTACAGTAATACCTACTGAGGGCTCAACTCCCAGTAGCTCTGAATCACAGGGGGTGAATAGTGCCCAGCGATTCAAGGTAATAGCCTATTGACAATGCTCTTTCACAGACTGCCTTCTCACAGTGGTGCTAGGGAATGGTAGAAAAGTATCAGAGAGAACCATTAAACTTGTGGCCCTTTGTATTGCTTAACGTATACTCCCATAACGCAGCAAGTAAAGTCATCTTTCATGAACTTAGAAGTAAAAAAAAATCTGTGCCTGTAATGAGAACAAAGGGGAATTATATAAACTTAGCATGATTAGGCTAAGGAGGTGAGAGATAAGCAATTGTGATTGATAATTTTAGTCATTTTCAAATTTGCTCATGGGTTGTAGGTGTTACTGATAAGGCTAGCATTTATTGCCTATCCCCAGCTGTCTTTTGACTGAGTAGCTTGCTGGGCCATTTTAGAGCGCTGTTAAAAGTATCTGCGTATTTCAGGGAGAGACAATAATGGAAAGAATCACATCTGCTAAACAAGTAGGAAAGAAAAGAAATGTTTGTAACCTCTTCAATTAAGTAAAATAAAGGATTAAGATAGGAGTGATGCTTCACGGGGCTAAGTGGCTTTAAAGGATATTGCTGGGAAAACGACTGAAATTTTATTTCTACTGTTCACGTTTAGATCTTTTTAAATTGTCATACTTATATGGTGTTCTTTTGTTAAAAAAGCATTATCAGCCTTGTGGAAACCAAACATATGATCTGTCAAGCTAGGTTTCACTCTTGAGATCCGACTTGTCCAGTACAATCATCAGCTGGGATCATAAATACACATTCATAGTTTCTTGTTACATTCAGCAACATTGAAATTTCAGATTGTTTATGCACTCTGTAAGCAAACTTTAGGGATACTTACATCATGATAATATTCCAACATGCTCTGAAGGATTTTCTTCAGGTTGCTTACCTGTGATAAGAGATTTAAACAGTTAGAATCCTTCATATAACACAAAGGAAGGTAACAGTCAGGAATTTGGCTCTTGATTTTCATAGAATCCCTACAGTGTGGAAGCAGGCCAGTAGGTCCATCTATGCACACTGACCCTCTAAAAAGCATCCCAGCCAGACCCACCCTCATATACCCGTAACCAAGCATTTCCCATGACTATTCCACCTAGCCTGCACATCCTTGGACACTACAGGGCAATTTACCACACATAATCCACCTAACTTGCACATCTTCGGACTGTGGGAGGACACCAGAGCACCTGGAGGAAACCCATGCAGACATGAGGAGAACATGCAAACTTCACACAGTTACCCAAGGGTCTTGAACTTGGGTCCCTGGCGCTGTAAAGCAGCAGTGCTAACTACTGAGCCACCGAACCACACCAATTTTCTCAATCACATTGTAAATTCACAAAATTACTGCAGTTTCAGAAAAGGAATCTCAGGCAAACCAGTTAGAGAATGGAAATATATTTTATCTAGTATATTACTATGTACTTTAAATCAATTTACTTACACCATTGATGTATGATTCTGGGTTTTTAGCACAATTATTAGGAATAGGAACAAAAGACACATTCAGAGATTGTGATTTATCATCACAATTAACATTTTATTCTCTTGCCCATTAGTGGGAAAGTTCTTGAGCATGAAGCATGGATCTTTATCCTCTCGAACAATATTAAAATCAGGAAATAACTACTTAGATATACAAGGCCTGAGTTTGACTTTTTAAAATATTTTTAGATACAAAGTCTAAAGTTTACATTTGTCTCAACAGAAGATTGAAGTACATTCATTCTTGCCCCACTGATAATGGGCAGCATTACCCTCATTAACTGACCTTTTTTTTAGTAGCCATAAATACGCATGTGAATGGCAACTGGCAGGTTTCTACTTTCAACATTCAAATCTGCTCTGGTAATTTTAAAATTAATGTCCAACAATGGATTTGAAAGCAGGCAACAGAACTGACTTTAGAGAGTAAAATCTAACAATTACACTTAGGTACTATATGAAATAGTCACCAATCTGATTTGGCTCTTCAAAATTAAAGTTCACAGTAATAGTTATAGCTGTCCATTTTTGACAATGTTTGTTCAAGGGACATGTGCATCACTGGCTAGGCGATTCTCACTTGCAATTAAGAGTCAACCACATTGCTCTTGGTCTAGAGTTGCATATAGGTCAGACCAGGCAAAGATGGCAGATTTCTTCCTGAAAGGACATTAGTGTATCAGATAGGTTTTAACAAGGATCGACAATGGGCCAGCTTTTTATTGAATTCAAATTTCACCGTCTGCCATGGTGGGATCTGAACTTATGTGCCTCCTAAATATTGATCTGGGATTCTAGATTACTAGTCCAGTGACTTTACCACCATGCCATTCGCTTCCCCTATATATAATGCACTGTAAGATGTCAGCGTCAAAATAATCCCACCAAAATGGGGTTCAGCTTACATGCCAAGCGCAAAAGTGAACCATCAGCATGGGAATGCATAGGCACCATTTTGAAAGGTCATAGGCATCAAATTCAAAGAGTAAGAGGGTCTTAAAGTTGAGTGCATCTTTGCGACAAAGCCCATATTACTTGCTTGATCTCGTGTCCAGTTATAAGGAACCAGGAAGAAACACATGCATTTATAGGGTGAAAAAGTGAGGCTGACTACTAAGGTAAATTCTTTTGGTTAATTCAGTGGATGTGGGCTTCACTGACTCAGCCAGCATTTATTGTCCATCCCTAATTGCCCTGGAGAAGTACAGATGTTGTACGTGAATGGGGTGGTGTTGGGGGTGGGGGGGAAACAGAGTGTACAACTTCTGTATGGGTACAGAATGTTGGGGTCATCTATTCAGCGATTTATGGCAACCATTTGACAAGTATAACATTTCTTTCCAAGGGTGAATATTAGCAGACCATCTGGCTGCATGTGGTACAGGTGACATACAGGACATCAAAAACAAACAGGAGAAGGAAACAAAGACTAACCAGATTTACAGAAGCAGAAGGCAGGTATGTTACATCAGTCTGATTAATTGCACAGTTTACAATCAGAAAACGTTGACTTTTGTAATAAAATTCTCAAGGTAAAAAATGGAGTTCTATCTGCAAATAATTGTTGAGTAGACTGCTGGACACTTATGGGGTGTCAAAGAGAATCTTGACCAACTTATAACAATTGTTTATTTCAAAGTGCTGCACTGTGCTGTAACCTGTGAAAAGAACAGACCTGTTACATTCGTTATTTGTGTATTACAGACTAGAGTGATATAGAGATCATGCAGGAAGGAGGCATTAAAGTAGAAGATCAGCCATAATCCAAATGACTTACACTTGCTCCAATTTCTTATATTCTGATCCTGTCCTCACTGCACCACCTCATGTGTAGATATTTTGAACAACCTGTACAGTTATTACAACACATATCTAGAGCAGGTAGCACTTGAACCTAGACATTCTGGTTAGAAGTAGGAATACTATCAACATGCCGCAAGACCTTTTTACCCCATGTGTAAACTTCCAATAAAAGCCAATGAACAGTGAGTATAAGTGTGGACACTGGGCAAATGTCTCCTTTCTTTAATAAGAACTGTAAAGTAGCAATGATTCTCTTTTTTTTGGGATTTCACGTTCTAGACAAGGGGTCATGATATCAAAAAATACGAGACACCAAGCTGAAGAGAAATCGATGAACCTGGGGAATGGTCTACTATATAATGCTGTGGAAGCCAATTTGTAAACACTAAATGCATCAAGGGGTATTGGAAATGAGGAGTGAGGTTTTGAGATAGAGGATCCACCAGGTTCATTTGAATGGCAGAACAGGCTGAATGGCTTGTTTCTGCTCCTATGTTTCTATTGCCATTCCAATTGTGTCAGCTAACTCAGTTCAGACTTCGGAAGGAATCTTTCATTATCAGCCAATATGGCATTTCATTGAAATGACAGGGGAGGATTACAGTTTCTTATTCATGGTGTCACCACATAAGAAACCAACATCAAAACAAAATGATGGTCTCTTATGACATGTGCTCACAATATATGTTTTCTCTTACTTAGTTAATTCTGTACATGTACAGAATAAACCATGAATCAATCTTTTATCCCCAGCTTGCTTTTATCTTCCTGCAACCCTGTGAATTACTAATACAGGGCA